CTAATACATGACTCCTTTAGTTACGGTGGATTCTAAAGGAAGAAAACATATCAACATTGAAACAACAAAATCAAAAGCCCATTGCACGGTTTTCTTAGCCTTTTCACTTGCTGGAACAAAGGTCAAGCCATTGGTAATTTCTAAGGGCACTCCAAACGGTACCATTGATAACAAAATGGCTAAAGGGACTTCCGGTTGCGATCCTCGTGTCTGTTGCGCTGTGCAGGAGAACGGATATTGTGACACGCGCATCATGGGAATATGGATTGAGCAGTATATATAACAGTACACCACATAGTTAGGTAATGACAAATTGTGTCTTTCAATGATGGATAGTTTTTCCGCACATACTGTTCAAGAGNTGGTGGAATGGGTGAAGTCCCTGCGGAACATGCGTCTGGGGGCGAACAATTCAATGATGGCTGCGTATATCATGAAAACCTTTCCTGATTAGTCTGGGCCGTATGATAAGTTTTTATCGTAGTCTAACAGCGTTATGGAACGCAACAACTTGTCTATACGTCGAAAAACGCATGACGCAACGGCCATGTCTGAGGAAGGAATGGGGCAAATACATATTGACTATGTTTTGCACGTTTGCGGTTTGATTGAATTCTTCTCACTTGAGCAAGAACAAGTGATAAATATGGATGAAACTGGCTGTTACTATGACATGACTCCTTTAGTTACGGTAGATTCTAAAGGAAGAAAACATATCAACATTGAAACAACAAAATCAAAAGCCCATTGCACGGTTTTCTTAGCCGTTTCACTTGCTGGAACAAAGGTCAAGCCATTGGTAATTTTTAAGGGCACTCCAAACGGTACCATTGATAACAAAATGGCTTAAGGGACTTCCGGTTGCGATCCTCGTGTCTGTTGCGCTGTGCAGGAGAACGGATATTGTGACACGCGCATCATGGGAATAAGGATTGAGTAGTGTATATAACAGTACACCACAGAGTTAGGTAATGACAAATTGTGTCTTTCAATGATGGATAGTTTTTCCGCACGTACTGTTCAAGAGGTGAGAAATTCCTAGGCTGAAGCAAATTGTTTGTTGTCAATGCTTCCTCCAAAAATGACTAGCAAAGTCCAGATACTTGACGTAGGTGTTAATAAGCCTTTTAAAGATTATATGAGAGCCGTGTTTAACTCATTTCGTGTTAAAACAGCTTGTGAGACCGTTTCCATTTCCAGAGCGCAGATGTCGACTTGGATCGCTGACTCTTGGGAACAGGTTTCAATGTCCACCATTATCAAAAGAAGTCAAGAAATTGAATTTCTTGATAAAGAGGAATGGGAAATAAAATGTTTATTATCCTATTATTATCCCTTGAGCCAATTCTCCATGTTCGCGACTTCTTCTCTTGTCTGACTCATTCTCAGACAATGATTTTACCGACGCAACAGATACCACTCTTCCGTCCAAAACATCTCCGTATAGGTTCTGAAACACATTGCCCAGAAATCCAATGCAGCATGATTCAACTCCATTCATTCATATTAAATCCTTAAATGTTTACTCCTGAACCGTTACAACTTCTTTAAAGAACTCGGTGTCCACCTTGTTTGGCCTTCGTCTTTTCTTTGGCCCACCTGGCTGC